TTGATGAATAGGTTTTGGATTGCATATTTGGGAAATCATTGAATCTGGTAGTGTTTGAATAATCTATTCATTAGACTTATGGAACATGGCAAAGACTTATTTTATCTTTCTCCTGGAAGTTTGTTTTTTTCTCCCTTTCTAATAAAAGCATTTATAATTCTTTAAAACTGTGGCCTCTGCTTCTGGCTTTCATAAGGATTTGACTAATTTGTATGGCTATTAGGTAGATGCTGTTAAACCAAAGGGTGCAAGAAATTGGAGCTGACACACGCAAAAATTGCTGCCTTACTAGTATGCAATGCGCTTGCAGGTTATTATGTGCAAGAGCATGATCAAAATCATCCAATTGGCTACATAAAAAATGTATATGTGGTTGACAATGCTCAAGGTGAAAGAAAATGGCCTCTTTAGGCCCATAAGATGCATGTCAGGGGGCCTATTGATGGGCTTGCAGGTATAGGACGTGGTGCTACTTATTCCTGTCACTGCATGGACTCCAACATGTTGTCTTTTCCCGTGTGCCCTTTGGTACGGGCAACAGAAATGGCCAGCAATCTCTTGCTAATGATGATTCAGAGGCTAGAGCAGACCATAATGGAGACATGTCTGGAGGTGGGTTAACGGCTCTGGTTGAGTTAAGCCAAGGAGGGAGTAATGCCACTATTGTTCATGGAGAACAAACAGAGAGGAGTTACGAGACGAATCTGCAAAGCAGAGTGCCTGTAACTTCTGTTGCAGGGCCAGCTACTAGTGGGATTGCCATGCAGATGTTAGAGTCACCAGAACATGCCATTGGAATTGAGTGGGAGAATGCAACTAGTTCTTCTATATCATTGGACATGAAAACCCCTCTGAGTTACTTCCCTCCCTTTCGTTTTGGGTAAGTTATTTTTGCTTTCCATAACTGTTGTTTTGTGCTTTGTAATTTGAAAGAAGTCATGTAAGAGCTTCTGTACACTGCAGAGGTTGGTGCATACAATTAATGGTGGAAATTCTTCCACTCGGTGGCTTACTTGAGCATTATTCTCTTTTCTTGGAAGATAACTTATTAATAGTAATACATTTTACCTCTATTAGTTACTAATAGGATCGGGATCTTGATGTTGTTTCTAGCACATGATCACTTCTTATATTAAAGAGAATGTGGAAAAACTAAGAAATAAATCAGTGTGGAAACTGAACGTATATTGAAAAACTGTTCATTAAGAATTATACAAGAACCTTAGGTTTATATACAACTAACTAGGGGTTAAACTAGGAAACTAAATCTTCCTATAAAACTAATCCTATAATTGAGGGATTGTCTATCCTAATTTTAGTCCTTAATTCTAGAGATACAAATATAAATATACAGATTACAAGATTACAACTAGCTGTAAATAAGTGTTTTCCCACAGAGAAGAAAGACCACATTCATTGGATTTTCAGGTGGCATCTGTCTATACTACCTCTGTTAAAACCTGTCAATCTTGTGTCAGCATTTGTCCTTTTTCTTTTTATTTGGTACTTCAAGTTGAAGACTTATTCTGATAATCTTCTGTAAATTCTTTGCTGGCTTTACAGTGTTGAGTTTTAGGATGTGCACAGGCTCAGTGATGGTCAAGTCCAGCACTCTCCAGAATTTTTTTATGCTGGTTCTTTGTGGAAGGTATTTGAACATGAAGACCCTTTAAGAACCTCAGGACTGATTTAGTTTCACTCTACACCTGTCTTAACATCTCATATAATCCAATATGATTGAATGTTTCTCTGAAAGAAAATTATGAAACCAACAAAACTTAAAAACTGTAACCCGATTCTCTGTTTTTGAATGTTCTCAAATGGCAGCTAATTCTCCTGTATATAGAACTTCTTGATGTTATTAGGCTTTTTGATTCTATAGTTGATGTTTGTGTCAAGATTTGTATTATAAGATCTATTTTAATTTACAGGTTAGTGTTCAGGCCTTTAACGACGAAGATCCTCAAGGAAGTAGGGCAATAGGTAAAGTTCGTGGTGAGGAATATGATGCTTTTGTCAATATATTTGAAGGGGTTTCTCTTCTATATTGAAACATGTCCTTTGTGTCACTTTTGAATGTGAGGAAGCAACTTGAAGAGTTGGGTTTTCCTTGCAAAGCTGTGAATGATGGTCTTTGGCTGCAGGTTTGTTTTCTATACCCATTTGTTTCCATGTCTGTTTTATCTGGTGCTGTATAAGGAATACTTGTTGAAGGCTGGATAATATCAAGTACATATTAACTGTTATGTTTGTGATAGACACAACTGGTATTGATGAATAGGTTTTGGATTGAATATTTGGGAAATCATTGAATCTGGTGGTAATTGAATAATCTGTTTATTAGAATTATGGAAAATGGCAAAGACTTCTTTTATCTTTCTCCTAATAAAAGCATTTATAATTCTTTAAAATTGTGGCCTCCGCTTCTGGCTTTGATAAGGATTTGACCGTATTTGTATGGCTATTATGTAGATGCTGTTAACCAAAAGGGTGCAAGAAACTGGAGCTGACACATGCAAAAATTGCTGCCTAACTAGTATGCAATGCGCTTGCAGGCAGCTGTTTGGATTTCCACATGGAGTACCTACTGCAGGTTATTACGTGCAAGAGCATGATCAAAATCATACAACTGGCAACATCGAAAATGTATATGTGACTGATAATGCTCAAGGTGAAGGAAATGGCCTCTTTAGGCCAGTAAGAGTGCATGAGGGGGCCTATTGATGGGCTGGCAAGTATTGGAGGTGGTGCTACTTCTGTTCCTGCCACTGCAAGGACTCCAACACGTTTTGTCTTTTCCTGGATGGCCTTTGGTATGGGCAACAGAAATAGCTAGCAATCTCTTGCTAATGATGATTCAGAGGCTATAGCTGACCATAACGGAGACATGTCTGGAGGTGGGTTAACAGCTCTGGTTGAGTTAAGCCAAGGAGGGAGTCATGCCACTATTGTTCATGGAGAACAAACAAAGAGGAGTTATGAGACGAATCTGCAAAGCAGAGTGCCTGTAACTTCTGTTGCAGGGCCAGCTACAAGCGGGATTGCCATGCAGATGTAAGAGTCTCCAGAACATGCCATTGGAATTGAGTGGGAGAATGCAACTAGTTGTTCTACATCAGTGGGCATGAAAACCCCTCTGAGTCACTTCCCTCTCTTTCGTTTTGGGTAAGTTATTTTTGTCATGCATAACTGTTGTTTTGTGCTTTGTAATTTGAAAGAAGTCATGTAAGAGCTTCTATACACTGCAGGGGTTGGTGCATTCAATTAATGGTGGAAATTCTTCCACTCGGTGTCTTACTTGAGCATTATTCTCATTTCTTGAAAGATAACTTATTATCAGTAATACATATTATTAGTAATACATTTTAGTTCTATTCGTTACTAATAGGGTTGGCGTTCTTGATGTTGTTTGTAACACATGATCAATTTTTGGATTAAAGAGATGAAAACCCATTCATTGGGCTTTTAGGGTGGCATCTGTTCTATACTACTTCTGTTAAAATCCATCAATCTTGTATCAGAATTTGTCCTGTTTCTTTTTATTTGTTACGTCAAAGTTGAAGACTTATTCTGATAATGTTCTGTAAATTCTGTAAATTCTTTGCTGGCTCTATGGGGTTGAATTTGAGGATGTGCACAGGCTCAGTGATGATCAAGTCAAGCAATCTTCAGAATTTTTTTATGCTGGTTCTTTGTGGAAGGCATTTGAATATGAAGACCCTTTGACAACCTCAGGACTGATTTAGATTTACTCCAAACCTGTCTTAATATCCCGTATAATCCAATATGATTGATTCTTTCTCTGAAAGAAAATTATGAAACCAAAAAAATTTAAAAACTGTAACCTGATTCTCTGTTTTTGAATGTTCTCAAGTGGCACCTAATTCTCCTGCTTATAGAACTTCTTGATGTTATTAGGCTTTTCGATTCTATATTTGATGATTGTGTCAAGATTTGTATTATAAGATCTATTTTAATTTAGAGGTTAGTGTTCAGGCCTTTAACGACAAAGATCCTCAAGGATGTAAGACACTAGGTAATGTTCTAATTAATGGTAGGATCAACCTGAAGAGCTTTTTATCCTGTGTTTTCAAGGTCAGTAGAGATGATTTTGGAATTTTTTTCTCAACCCTTTCTTCTCCCACTTCGGGATTATTTCTTCACGGGCGGAAGGCTGAGATGACTGACTCTCTCAGAAAGGTCAGCCCTCTTTTGCCAAATCAAAGCATGAGATGGTGCTTCATTTCATCCATGGATGATGGAACAATCTTTTGCTGTTTAGATCTTGGTGACCAAGAATTTGTTATTGTTTGATTAATAAGATTGTAACCAGAATCTCTGAGTAATAAGAATCATCCTGTTTTCACTTCCAGGTTCACATGTCTGTGGATTCTCGAGAAAAGGTCACTGCCCGTTATCAGGTAATAGACATGTTTAAAAAGAGTTGGAAGTCCATTCTCTCAGTTATTCTGAATGATCCTATGCAAAGATGAATGATGTTTTATTATTCTCCATATCTTATTCCTTCATTTTCCAGCTAATTTGTCCATCAAAGCGAGAAGTCATGGTGTTTGGGAGATTCAAACAGGGGCACTCTTTTACCAAAAGCTCCCAAGGGGTGGGGATGGCGGACAGCTTTGTTGTTTGATGAGCTTGCTGATCTTCTTCAAAATGGGGCCTTGAGAGTAGCTGCTGTTGTGCAACTTGTCTGAAATCAAACAAGAATCTCAACATTTCATCTAAACCATAAATTGCTTATACTTTTTCCCTTGTTTCAGATGTAAAAAGCAGCAACCTTTTCTCTTTTGAACCAACCTGGTTGGATGGGCAAGCCTAATTGTGCAGTTGTTTTTTTTCTTTAATCATAGTTAATTATATGTAAATCAAAGTGTGATACAGTACAGAAATCACCTATTCAAGTAATTTTTCATCATTTTTTTCATGGAATTTTTCCAAAAAAAAGTCAATAGCTTTTTGTCCAAAATCCTTATATATTTTTATGGTAATATTTTTTCCCTAAAAATATAAATCCTTACGCAAAAAAAAAGAAAAAAAAAATCCTGTTTAAAGTTTAGGTAGCCGCTAGGGACATACAATGTTTTATTTTTTTGGTGGCGGAAAGCAAATGTGAAAGTTTCAAATCTTTTGTTCCAATCTCTATTTCTTTCAATTTCTTTCAAATCTTGAAAAGATTCAATCTTTACTTCTTATTTAGATCCAAATTACAGCACAAGCAGAATCACCCGATAAGTTCTTGAAAATTCCCAAATTAGTCCATCAATTCTCTTCCCATTTTGCCACCTATTTTCTCCTCTTCAAAATTTCTAGGGTTTTTTTTTTCTAAAAAAAATCCTGTCTTCTCATGGCGTTTTGATGTATCTGGGCTTTTTAAATTCTGGGTTTTCAACGTTTTACTTCAGAAATGGTTATTGTGGCTTATATGCTTTTAGGGTTTTTATAAAAGCCCAACTTTCCACATCTATGTTTCATGGTTTTCTTTAAATGGGTGTTGAGTTTTCAGGGGTTTGAAGTTTGTAAATTTCATCAATGGTTGCTTTAGCAATTAATCGGAAACGCGGTAGGGATGAGTATTTCTATTCCAATTTCAGTCACAAAAACAAAGCCTCGTATTCAAATTCCTTAGATTTTCAACTTTCTAAAAAACCTAGATTTTCTCTGCTGAATCAAAGCCCAGAAAAACAAATTTTATCCTCAAACGACACCGTTTCGAGAATCTCTCGTTACCCGAAAGCCAAGCTTCCCTTTCCTAGAGAAATTCACGCCCCTGTCAGACACCTTAAATTTGGGTTATTAGCTACAAATATCTATATAGGGAATTTTATGAGTAGTAGATTAAGTATTGCAAAAAGGCAAGCTTTTGATACTTTGAGGTACTCTAAGAAAGAAAAAGAAGTGATTTTTGTGGAAGATGGTGAGGAGAAAGAAAAAGAGGTGGTTTCAGATGATTTTAGCGCTGAAGAAGTTGAGGTTGTTGAAAAAGGGAAGAATAATGTGGAGGTGGAGGAAGAGAGGCATGTTCAGCCATCCTCTTCGTCTCTGGTTACTGAGTTGAACAATGAGAGTTTGAGAGTGGAGCATGTGTTGGATATTTTGTCATTGAATCGGGAGGTTTCCACTGTTTATGATTTAGAAGCTTATAAGAAGTTGGTGGAGAGTGCAGAGAGGAGAACTCCCAAGTTGAAAGATTTGGATTTTCAAATTGAGTTGAATGAGAAGCGTATAGCTGGACTTCAGGCATTGCGGTCTGAGAAGAAACCAGGGGATGAGCTAGAAGAGGTGAAGATCTTTTGCTTGCTTTGTTTTAATTGAGTTGCTTTGTGCGGGTAGTGTCTTTCAAAGAATTTTTGTTGTTTCTAGAATAGAATAAATGGTATTTATAATTTGTTCAGAATGATAGGCATTAACATTATCATTTATCGAATTCCAGGTGATACCTCCTGAACCTTTTATGCCTCTTACAGAGGAGGAGAAGGAAGAGGTTTCCCAAGCTTTTTCTGCAAAAAAGTGGTATGTAATAATGCATGTGTTAGTGTTTGATTATTTGATTGGATGTCACTTGTGTTGTAACGTTTTGAGCTTGCTTTTGCAGGAGTAAGATATTGGTCTCTCATGAGAACTCAAGCATTGATATTAGAGGAGAAATTTTGCAATGTCTGAAACCAGGCGCATGGTTGAATGATGAGGTCATTTTCATTTCCTTTCAGGGTTATATCTTGTGTTGTGTATCTGCCTATATTAGTCACTGGAAGGATTTGTTAATTTGTCCACATTCAGTTAGGACTTACTGGAATTAAGTGAGATGGTAATCTGGTTTTAACACACATAGTTTCTCGTTTACAGGTCATAAATCTCTATCTTGAATTACTGAAAGAAAGGGAAAACAGAGAGCCGAAGAAGTTTCTGAAATGCCATTTTTTCAACACCTTCTTCTATAAAAAGGTAGTTGCTTGCTCTTCTACCTTCTTCAATTTTCGCATACCCTACTTTGTTCTTTCATGTAAGTCTGTATAACTATCAGTTTCTCAGCTACTTTTTCCCTTTCCCCTCTGAATTCTGATGCTCAGTTAGTGAGTCCGGAGAATAGCTATAATTATAGAGCTGTCAAAAGATGGACTTCACAAAGGAAGTTGGGGTACTGCTTATTTGACTGTGACAAAGTAAGTATTTATCTTTTCTTTCTACAATCATCTGTTTGGCATGATTGAACATTGTATTTATCCTTAAATCAATTATTCCATTTTGCTCAGATATTTGTCCCCATACACAAAGATATACATTGGTGCTTGGCAGTTATCAATAAGAAGGATCAGAAGTTCCAGTATCTTGATTCACTAAAAGGAAAAGATGCTAAAGTGTTGAATGCACTGGTATGATTTTCAGTGACATGTTTTTCTGTTTAGATGTCATATTATTTTGATGCATGTAATGAATTGATTCAAAGTGTATTAGGTGGTTTAAATGTACTAGGATTTGAAGTTTAGGATCCTGTTAGCTGCAAGACTCATTTCCCAGCTATTTCTTTTGCTATAAATCTTTATTGTCTATAGGGTTTGCTTTGGCTTCCAGCCCACTCTTCCCCCTATAACAGAATATCATCAAAGAGGAAGTACATATATGAGTTTTTGGCACCTCTGCAAAACTTGTTTAATATTGGTTGTTATGTGTCAGGCAAAATACTTTGTTGAAGAAGTGAGGGACAAGAATGGAAAGGACATCGATATAAGTTCTTGGGAACGGGAATATGTTGAAGACCTTCCCGTACAGGAGAATGGGTACATATTCCAATATCTATTGCAGTCATGTTTTAGAGATCAGTGCTCAGAATACTTATTCTTCATAAGCTTATTGCATAATAAATAACTTATGCGGGCAAGCAATTTATTGTGCGGTAGCTTTATAGGTATCCGATCCTTTTTGTAATAACCCTTTACGGCAATTGGTTCCAAATATTTGATGAACCGAAATTAATGTAGTAATTACAGTACCTCCCACCCAGGGCGCTCATAATTAGTATTGTTAACTATTACTGCTAGTTTCATGGTGTCATGTGCCTTTTCTATTAGAATTTTAATCGTTTCCCCTAAACAATCTTCTTTGTGAACAGGTTTGACTGTGGCATGTTTATGTTAAAATATATGGACTTTTATAGCAGAGGCTTAAGTCTTTGTTTTGACCAGGTAAGTCCATGGAAAATGATTTCTTATGCTTGTAATGCTCATTTTATATAATTTATTTATTTTGTTTGAAGAAATTGTGGTCCTTAAGTCATAAGTTATTGGGATGTAAAATGTGTTGTCTATCTGCCAAAATATGAGAGGCACCAAGGCGGACACAAATATGGATGATGTTTCCACATTCACAGCCATTCTGTTTGAAAAAATGAGGTCTGATAAATTTGTCTCTGATTGCTAAGAAATACTTTGAAAATTTTTGTTCAGGAGGAATCCACACACCCTCTTCTTGAAACCTCAGCCTGCTGAATTTTATCCATCTCCCTGGCAGACTGCCAAGAAGAAATATTTCTGTAGTTTAAAGTAAATGATGATTTGATGTTGTCTTCAAACTGAATTATGATTTTCCCTGCTTTTGTAGGAACACATGCCCTATTTTCGGTTAAGGACAGCCAAGGAAATTCTGAAATTGAGAGCTGATTGATTCTGTACAGACTGGCATCGACAACGCATTTGCTATTCAAGTTCTTTTTTTTATTTGTATATGTATGCCTGCTTGTCTATTTTTGGCTAGTGAGAAGGCTTTTACTAGGAGTTGGAATGGTATGCAAGAGTTTGCTTCTGATCAGATTATCAATATAATTGGCGTGACCGGTTACTAAATTGTAAATGCAAGCCATGAGATGTAGGTGTAGGGCAGGGCAAGACAAACTTTCTGGAGAGTTGTCTTGGAAGTAATAGGTTTTTGTTTCTATCTTTCTTCTAAAATTTTCCCATTCCCCTTTTGTACATCAGTTCTGCCTGGTTTCTATTTACAACTTCTGAGCCTTTCCCAGTTATTATAGGAGTAATATATGTCTTCTTGTGTTTTTTTTAACTCCTAAGAGTAATATCTTTCTGTAAAATGAAAGTGCTTTGTGTTTTCCTTTTGGCCTTTCTGCATTGGCTTTATGTTTCTATGGGCAAATATAGATGGAGCCAAATCATTCTACCTTTTCCCTTGGATCTTAAAATTATAACTCAAGGGCTAGTATTGTTAATCGGGCAGGATGAGTCGGGTTTGGTTAAGGTTACTTTAGGGTAAACAATTTCAAAATATGATATAATAATACGATATAAAAATAATATAAATAAAAATATAATTTAAAATTTAATAAAAATTATAAATAAATTTAACAAAATAAAAATATATATATTTCATGTTTATGTTTTTGTGTTAAAATGAATTGAAACAAATAATTTTTAAGTAAAACACAATATGAATAAATAAATGTTTAATATTTTACAGTCTACTTTAAGATCATCTGGATTCAAAAAGAGTCAGATTTGGGTAAAATTGCTTCAGGATGTCATTTGGTTAAGGATAAGTTAATTAATGGGAACATCAATATTCAATAAAAAGGGACAGTTTTTGAGTATTCTGGAAATATTTAAGTACACGTTCATGTTTCTTAAAACTAGAATATTACATGCACAATGTGCTTTTGAGGCGAGAAAGCAAAATCTACTTTCAACGGTACAAATAAACAATGGAAAAAGAAAAAAAAAAAAAAAACACTATTTTCCTTTTCTCCCTTCCTAAAAATGACTTGTGAAAACATTTCTTTGTCACCCTTTAAACAACATCAGAAGGCCACAAACCCATATCAATCTCAACAAGAACACATCAGATTCATCTAAGCAATACATTTAACCCGAATCATCGATGCCATTGTATTTGCAGGAAACATGTATGTGAACAGCAACATTGATGCCTACAAGAACGAACAAGATCTGCGCATTGTTGAATTTCCTCTCAAGATCCGACATCTCCATGAATTGACTGCCAGAACCGAGTAGCTTCATTTATGAGAAAATTGATCTGTTTATAGCAATATTTAATGTAAATGTCCACCAGGAAAAGTACCATAATAATCTACATAAGAGAGGAAATTACAGGAGAGGATCTCATGCGGTAATGAAAGTAGAGGACCAACTGCTGCCTTAACGAGGAACTCTCTTCCGACTCAGAATCTCCTGCTCTTTTAGTCGATGTTGGAACCTGGCAAGGCGAGCTTGAAGGCTCACCAGACCAGCCGCCTTGCGAGAAAGCACAAAGTTCAGCTGTGTCAAATAATCGTCAATGTGGCTGCCTGGTTGGTCCACCTCCGCCAAAAGCTTCATTTCCTGTAAGATAGATGCAAAACATCAAGATGAACAGTGGTTTAATTGTGATCAAAGGGAAAAGATAGTTTCTCCAGCTTATTGACGAGGGTTCAGAAGCATAGTTCAGGTTGAGCATGAACCAGAAATAAAGATGAATGTAAGCGCCTCACAACATAACACTCAAAAAATAAAAAAATTCACCAGTGATCAAGTGCAAGGTTACTTACTTCACGAACAATCTCCATTGTATTCTCAATTTCTTTTCTGTGAGCAGCAATTAGTGCCTCTTCCTCCTGCAACGAACCAAAAGTATAAACAATGAAGAAAATCCTGAGAGCCCCTTAAATAATAAAACAAATGAACCATGTTTAATAAAGCAAATGAACCATGTTGATGGCCTACCTCAAGAATTGCATTGATATTCCCGTCAGTGGAAGGCTCAGGATCATATTGTCTATGTCCAACATTATTTGTGTTATAATTAACAGCATTCGCCTGCCTAGAGTTTGTAGTAGACGAATCAGATCCCCCTCCATCTTTCTTGGTCAAGTTCCCCATCTTACCAAAATTTTCTACTCTAGTCACTTTTCTACGAGGTGGTGACACCTTCTGCACTTTCTCTTCTGTATCAGCTGAATTTTGAGAATTTGATGAGTAAGATCTTTGACTTGTAGAACCACCATAAGAATTAGTCACTTCAAATCTCTCCCTATCTGTTGGCCCAGAAGCCATTCCAACTTCCTCCCTCCCATTGAAAGAGTAACTTGACGAAAACGTTGAGGGCTGTTTGTCAAAGTCAACAGTATAAACATCTTTCTCTACAACCCTTCGAGTTGTATCAACAACTTTCACTTCCTGTTGTCGCTCATAAACATCTTCTACGTCTGCAGTAGCTGACAGAGAAGATGCAGAAGAAGCATCCTTATTACTTGGTGGTAAAGAATTTACAGCTTGATCTTTTTTGGGATTACCACTTTTGGAAAGACTTTTAACCCTGTTGATTTGAATAACAATAAACTTCAATTACTCAACAAGTACAACAACACGATCTACTGCAACAAAGGAAGCCCTTTTATGGAGGCTTGTTATAGAAACAAGCATACCTATCAGCATATCTCAGAGTATTGAGAGTGTGTTCACATGAACCTGCATTTGGAGAAATACACGAGATCATAACTGTCCTTGAGTTGCCAACAAAAGAGTCACGGAGCACTTCAGTGAGTTTGCTCCCACGAAATGGTATATGGGTCTGGTCATTGTCCAGAGCACGAATGCACTCCTTAAGAGCCAAAAGGCTCTTATTTATTTCTGCACCCTCAATCCTGGCAAGAATTCGAACCAGTGATATCAGAAACAAGCCAAAAATAAACCAGGTGGGGAGAAAAAATAATGTTAAAACAGTTAACAAGCTGACAGACAAAGCCAACCAGTCTATAGACCTTTGGAAGTGGTTTCAGCACCCTTTTTTCCCCACAGGAAAGTTCAAACTTACCTAGTTTGCCGGTCATTGTCAGTAGTGTCTGCACCTCTTTCACTGCCTGCAAGATCAATAAAAGAAATCTTTCCCACAACCTTCCCAGCTTTAGACTCATTCCCATCATTGTTCCTCTTGGACTCCTTTATCTCAGGGTGCTTCTTGATGGCAAGTTGCAAAATAGCATGCGACCTTGAAGATTCTTCGTTTGCACCGGTAGATCCGGTGCTTCTAGCAGCATTTCCCCTTTCAATGTATTCCTTCACTATTTGCACATCTGACACCTCAAATTCTTCCAGTCCAACAATGCAGACTTGTTGTCTCCCATCTTCTCTCATACAAAGCTTCCTATTGGAGAACATTTAGATTATTCCGTGATCAAATTGTTATTTATACATATGTGCATCCACATGTACAAGAGAGGTGTATTGAAAGAGAATATGTGTGCTTGACATAGGACAAATTGTGCTTAATAGACAGTCAGACCAGCAGACATTTCAAAGTCATTACACAAATCACAGAATCAATCAGGTATGTTTTAGGGAAAAAGGATTTATCACAAAAACACACACATAAATAAGCAAGGAAAGGAAAAGAGAATTACTTTCTATCACTCAGAAGGTCAAAGAGTTTTCCACCATATATCTCAAAAAAGCTAAGCCACAATTTAAATCTCTGATTGCAATATACAGGCTGATGCAAGATTCTAACAAGGTCTTGTGCAGCTCTGAGAGGTAATGGTTGCATTGTAAACGTCTTACCACTACCTGAAATAAAATATATATTCCACAAGACAGTGCAGAAATTAGCAACAATGTCATACAACCATAAACTGGAAAGACAAGGAGATATGATGTGCAACAAGTACAAGGACCAAGGAAAATGAGAAAATGACAATCACGTCTTAGGTTTATACGATTTCTTTAGTTTAGAACAGTGTTTCTTTCTCTTTTTTTCAAAACCCACCCAACCCACCTGAACTTAACACAACCCAATTTGACCAAAAAGTCAACAATCTGTACCTGTCCAATCCTCACCTAAAACGATTCAAACCTGAACGATCTGAAATGAGCCAAAATTATATGATTTGACTGTAAAACAAAATAATGTGGACCCGAACTGATTCAAACCTGACAAACCCCTGTGTCTAATCCAAAAGACTCGAACCCAAGATGATTCGAACCAGAAACCCCCAAATTTTTTTTATCCGAAGTCACCCAAACCCAACCCGACCTGCCCATTCGCCACCTCTAAATAAAACAAATGTGGTCTCTAAATTCCAAAGCCCAATCATATGCATCAACTTTCTAGTAATAATTCTAAACCTCCCAAATAGTTTCCTTCATTATGTTTAAAATACCATGTACCTCATTTAACATTAAAATTATGGTTCCCACTAGAATCTAGTTTCTTCCTAGCTCTTTGACTATGGTTCCCACTAGAATCTAATTTCTTCCTAACTCTTTGAATATTGTAAAATGATTTGGGTTCTATCAATGATCTACATAAACAAAAGCAAATATTCCTTGTAAGGCACAAGGAGAAATGAACAAATGTCAAAAAAGGGAATAGAAAATACAAACAGAGAGCTAAAAAGATGTTTGTAGCTTTTACATCCAAATATAATTCTCCTAGAACTTCCGAAAAATTATAATGAACCAAAAACTACCTCTTTAATCTTCATGTAAAAAATATAATGTAGAACAAACTGAAAGGAATAGATGCTTAGATGGTAACCAAGATGCACGTAGGCTTTGACACAGAAAAATTTTCCTTCTAACATGAATATATACAAAAATAGAATATAGTAAATATAGCACATGTGCCACTCAGGAAGAAAAATTCAAAACTCTATGCACCTGTTTGCCCATATGCAAAACAAGTGGCTTTTGTTCGCTGAAAAATGGTGGGAATAATTGGCTCAACAGTAACACGATAAACCTGTTGAAGCAAACAAGAGAAAAAAAATCAATCTTTTGCTCTAACAAATCAATAAACAAAGAGAAGACAAACTTTGGTCATAATATACTCGAAACATTATTCACGAACCACATTTGGATAGCAACAAGGCAATACACTTCAACTAAGTATTACCTCGTCATTAGTAACAAGCTCATCCAGAACAGCATCAAAACAGAACTCATGCTTCTCTATATACGCTGTCAAATCCACCTTTCACATAACAATCAAAGCAGATATGAGAAAGAAAAGAAATTGACATATTAAACAATCATCAATAGTTCTCAAATATTCATCTCAATAACACATAGAGATGCCACATTAATTTATTTGAAAAAGGGACAAACCTTCAGCTTGGGTTCATGGACAGTTAAAGCATTCTCACTCACTGTTACTATATCATCCTCCTTCCGAGAAATCTCCTTCTTGTTTAATGGTCTTTTACGTACCTTATACCACATGAAACACAAAAATTTAGCTTCC